CAAAATTTTACGACTACGACAATTATATCAATGAACTGCGTGTCAAATTGCAATATGCACTAAATAAAGCAAGGGAATTGACGGTCAAGGTTAAAGAAAAACGTACATTTAATTATGCTAACAAATATCATAAAAAACTTAACTTAGAAATAGGAGATCAAGTTTTATTAAAAGTAGAAAACAGAAAAAAACATATGTCACCCTACATAGGACCATTTACTATTATCGAAAGAAAAGGAGTAAATTCAGTAATAAATCAGAATGGTATACATAAAGAAATCCATAACAATTTATTAAAAGAATATAAACCAAATACTAGTTAAATATAAAAAGAAATAATATTATATAAATACTTATATTAGATTAAGACAAAAATATACATATATATATAAAAAAAAAAAAAAAAAAAAACACATATATTGTAAAATTATAATTAAGAAAATTTAGTGTAAAAATAAATAAGTTATAATTATTATTAATAACAAATTAGTTTTATACATATATATAAATTTCACATAAATTTTTCCCCAAAATTTTCTCTTAAGGGTGAGGGTGTAGTGTACCAACACTTCTGTAGTGTACCAACACTTCGCTACACACCAATATTACATATAAACAACAAATGTAAAGTGCAATTGAGTGAAATGTATCATGTTGCACATATGTTGCATTTTAAGTACTCAATTGTACTAACCAATAAGAAAAGAGAACTGTAATTAGAATAAGATAGAATAATAATTAGAATAAGAGAGGGGATACTAAAAATATAGTATATAAACCCCGAAAATATTAAAATAAAATCAGACTTTGTTTAAACATACAAAGACTCGTTTTTATTAATTAGGGACTTTACGCTCTTCGAATTATTTCGGATATTAGCGTATTGTAGACCATAGGCACCTGGATGCCGGTCTAAGAAGTTTACTAAACGAATTTTTTAAATTAATTTATATGGGAGGTCCCATAAGATTTAGTCCCCCAATTTATTACCCAAATGTACACATGGCTGTCAAAGTAGCTCGTAAAAATTTTAAGATTTTTGCTCTAATAGTTTCTCAGATATACGAATTTTTATACTCAATCCGTATAGGAGGTACCAAGACCACCTTATGAAAGTCCGCCCATTTAATTTTAAGATTCTATCTCCAATAGTTTACCAGGTAAACGAATTCGAATATTTAATTCATATGGGAGGTGTCAAGCCCCCATCTTCAAGTCCGCCCATTTTATGTCCTAAACATTCATGTTGATACTGCTGTTATATTTCCTCAGATATATCAATTTAAGAGGTTTTTTATATGGGAGATGCCACGCCCACTGTATCCATTCCCATGTATTCATATGTCAAAGTTTTCCATACCTAATTTTAGGACTCTAGCTTTTGCAGTTTCTGAGATATGCGACTTTTAATACTTTTTTTAAATGTGGGCGTGGTACGTCGCCCACTTGAAATTTTGAAGTAAAAAGTAACCTATAGTTCCAGACATACAGGAAGACACTGTGAAAATTTCAAAAAAATCGGCCCAGCCGTTTAGCTGTCTATAAAACACACATTCATTTTTATATACATATCTAGATCTTACATTATTACATGAAAAATCACTTTAATATTAACTGGTGTTCAATATAAAATGGCATAAGTCCAATAATGGATGCATTCTGAGAAAACTTATAAAACTTATAACATCGAACTTTATCATAATATTGATATTAAACGATATTTTTCAACATCAGAGTGATTTTTAAAATAGGTCCTCCTTTGAGGGATTAGTTCAATTATGGGTTAAACTGTAGAGGATTTGAAAGATATATAAATTTCTTAAAACAAATAATTTATCTCGAATTTTATTTATCTTAATATAATTTTATTCAAACAATTTTCTAAAAATAAACTAGTTTTTAATACCTTAAAGTGGAGTCCATTATGGACCGGTATTCATATAATTTGAGAGATATAGTTTACATAAAACGTGTCCTAGTTCCACTTTATCACGATTCAAATATTTGTAAGTCAATTATAAATGTTAAAGGTGTTATGGGTTAAGGTCAAATGGTCTGATCTACATTAAATTTGATATAGGGCTTAAATAATAAACAATATTTTATTAAGGCTTATACTAGTTTAGTTGATTCCTCGCTTAAGTAGCATTTTTAAGAATGTTTTGAGTGTTATAGTCAATTTCTAACAGAGATTGTTATATGGGAACTAGAGTGAAATTTGGACTAATCTTAACGATACTTTACAGTCTGATTCTTGGCCAATAAATGATGCTTATGTTGAATTTGTTCACGATCGTTTCATAGTAAATCTAGCAATCAAATATTTTCAGGATTTTCCATTAGTTTTGATGTAATTATGAACCGATATTAGACATTTCCAACAAGATTTGTATTTGCGATAAATAGAACATATGTACCAAATTCAGTGTAATTATATCATTAATTGCTTTCAAGCTATAAATACAAAACCGTTGTTAGGCCCTTTCGATTTTAAAAAAGTCGAATTTAAAAGGGCGTATCCCACACAACTTACACAAACAGCTGAAAAAAATATTTATTCGTCAAAAAATAAATGTATCATTGTTGTAGTACAAAATATATTGAGGAAAGAAAATCATATCTCAAATAAACGAAAAATGACTATAACTCTAAAACTGCTGATAATACGAAAAAATTGCCTGAAACCAAAATGCCTAAATTCGTAGGATGTATGAAAAGGGAGATATTTCAAAAAATTGATTATTCTGACCTATGACCTTCAATATTTAAAGTATATAAGACATGATTTCATATATTATTCACCATCATATTTATAACATTATGGTCTGTGATGGTCTGTGGTAATTTTTACTTTATTCGGCATTTTAACCTTAATTTATTAGACCATAAATGTGTTAAAATGTATAAAAGGCATTCATTTCCTATGGAAATTGTAAATGTAGCTAAATAAAAACTCCTATAACTTCCAAACCCATTAAGATCCCATTCTAAAATTTTTACAAAGCAATAACAATAATTTTGTCTATTTGTCATAAAAAATTAAGAGAAACAAAATAGCCTTTTTTAAGATATTCAAGAATACAGGACATTTTCCACTATATGGACCTCATGTAATTTTAATGAAATGTCAAAAACGAGTAATCGAAGACCTGCCGAACGAAACATCATTTGTTAAAATCGGATAACTTGTTTTAAAGGTATTCAGTTATCAGCATTTCTAATTTTGAACAAAAATACCCGAGATTCCCTACTTTAGAGACCCACAAAGTATGAACCGAATAAGTTAAGGATCTAATTTATTCGCCATAGAAATCGCATTAAGGAGTAGAATATATGCTCCTGATTTGAAAATCTAAGGGGACAAAAATTTAAAACAGCGTTTTTGGTCGATTTATTTTGGAATTACCCATATAACAATCTCTGTCAGAAAATGACTATAACACACAAAACATTCTTAAAGTTATAGCGATGAATCAACTGAATAAGGTTTGTTTATTATAAAATTTAATATGGACCACACTTGACCTCAGCCCACATCTCCTTAAACATTTATAATTGACTTAAAAACATTTCAATCGTGATAAAGTGGAAGTAAGACACGTTTCATGTGAACATTATCTCCCAAATTGTATGAATACCGGTCCATAATTGACTCTACTATAAGGTATTAAAAAATTGTTTACTTTTATAAAACTATTTTTTTTTTTTGTTGTTTTTAAAAATCACTCTGTTGTAGAACAATTTCTTATTAATATAGATATGATGTTAAAGTTCGATGTAATAAGTTTCAAAATAACTCTATCAAGTTTTCTCAAAATGGATGCATTATATTACACTTTATATTGAACACCAGTTGATGTTTTTGATATACTAATATAAAATATAGAAACAAATCCTATATTTCGAAACAGTGAGATGTTAAGTGCATATATCAATGTAATTAATTTCTTTAGAATCGGTCTATATGACATCGAAGCGCATACCCCAGCAAAAAATAATTGATGTCATACTTTACAAATGACATCTTAATGACATCTAAAAATGCGATTACATATTTTTCGCTTTTATAAACCAAACATATCCCTACAAATGAAAACACTGTTAAAAGTGAGGAAAGAGATGTAGAAAAGTCACTACAAATAACACATTCGAAGTACTTCAAATTTTGGTGAAAAACCAATGAAATTTACATAACGTGCCATTGAAATAATGTGGAAGTAAGAATAGATGTAGTAGAAAGTTGTCAAAAATGAATAATATCCCTCTAATGACACGGTAATGTAAAATTCATAGGTTTTCACCCGAATTTGAAGCACTTCGGGTTACTAGTTCCCAGCAAAATATAATTGCGCAGCAAAAAAAGTGTGGAAAAAAAATGAAGTATTTTCATCACAACTAGTAACCCGAAGTACTTCCAATTCGGGTGAAAAAAATACCTATATTTTTTGTTTATTTAATCTTCGTTTAAGAAATTGTTTGGCAATTTTTGTTTTCTTCTTTTTATTGTTTGGCAATTTTTGTTTTCTTCTTTTTATTTTTATATTTTTGCCAGCTGTTTTATTGGAAATTTCCAATAAAAACGTAATTTGTGTTGCCTCTTATCTAAAGTTTCTAAGACATTTTTTATAGTGCTCGATGAGGAGATTCTATATACGAAATTTTTTTTAAATCAGAACTCAAATGAAGAAATAGGATCGTTATAAAAATTTAACATAGCCGAGGTGTCCTAATTTGAGGACCCCCCGCCGGGCCCCTGGTTGGCCTATAAGGTCCAAATTCAAAACCTAAACTCGACAACACATCCTCTTTGTGCATACCAAATTTCATTAAAATCGGATTAACCGTTTAGAAGTTACCGAATTATTTCCCTCTTTTTTTTTTCCTATACCATTGTGCGTTGTGAGAACCTCTCATTAAAAGTTACAGAAACGGGGTACTTAATTCAAAATATTCAAAATATTACCATTTAATTTTATAATCAAAATATTATTTGTTTATAGGTGAAGTCGAATTAGAAAATGTTCCAATCAGGAAGGATGCGTTAAGATCATTTGGAATACCAGTTGAAGCTATTTCTGGCAGTATTGGCAAAATTAAACTACAGATTCCCGTAAGGCAATTTAGAACTTCTCCCTGGTGTATTGTGATTGAACGTGTATATGGTGTATTCGGACCTAAAAATGTAAATGATTGGGATAATGAAAAAGAAAAACAAGACGAATATGAATATAAACTTAATATTTTGGATGCAAAAGAAGCTACATGGAGAGTAGAAAATGATTGTAATGTGGAAAGCTATTACTCGTTATCATATTCAAGTTGGTTAAACTATGGTGCAACATTAGCTACAAATATACTGGAAAATCTGGAGTTAAAAATTATTGATGTACATTTACGATATGAAGATACAGTCACAGCTCCTAATTTTCCATTTTCTGCTGGTATACGAATACAATCTCTTTCGGCGCAAACTTGTGATGCCAGTTGGATGCCTGGATCTAAAAACAATAGTAATAATGTATCTTATAAATTGCTGGAATTAAAAGATCTATGTTTATATTGGGATCAACTGCACGAAAGTAACATGTGCTCCAAATTAGCATCCAAAGACCTTTTGGTAAACATGAATAATTTATGTAAAATGGAAAATCACATATTTGTAATTAATCCTATAAGTGCTACTGCCAAATTTAAAAGAGAACGTTGCAAACAAGCTATAAGGAATAAAAGTCGGCCTCGAATATCTTGTGATGTTGTATTACCACAAGTCATTGTCGTGATAAATGAAGTAAGTGAAAAGTAAAATAATCTTAACAATAAAAATGCATTTTACATTATTTCAAAAATAGTTATGAGAAATTTCGGTTAAGTCTAGTGTTTATAAAACTCACTTATGATCAGCGTTGCAATATAAATTTCTACAAAAATCTTCAAATTAAACAAAAAAAATCGTTTTTTTATACCCTTCACCTTCGCGAGAAGGTGTCATTCCGTTTGTAATTTCTATAATATAATTTTTCGACCCTATAAAGTTTTCTGGATCCTTATAGATAGCGGAGTCGATTAAGCTATGTCCGTCTGGCTGTCCGTCTGTCTGCATGTTTGTTCAAATCAGAGGACCCCAGATATCGGCGAGAACCGAATCTTCAATAATTCTGTTAGACATGATTTCGCGAAGATCGCTATTTAAAATCAGCAAAATCGATCCACAAATAACGGAGATATGAGCATAAAACCGAGACAACCTCTGAAAATTTCATCAAAATTTCAAAATAATCATACGGTAAATTTTGTTATTGTATTGCTTGTTTATAATAACAAAGCAGAGCAAGAGCAGCACTAATGTGTTGTTATTGGCTAGAAACATGAAATTAAGTATGTGGAGTCTGGCATAAGTTAGAACCCATAAAAGGGAACTTTTTGGCACTCTTTATACCCACCAAAGTATATATATTCTGGGTCCTCATTAAATTCTAATACGATCTAGCCATGTCTGTTCGTCTGTCCGTCCGTCCGTCTGTCTGTTGAAAGCACGATAGAGTCCGAATAGAAAGAGCTAGAGGGTTGAAATTTCACATAAATATTTCTTACAGATAAGGTTTGTTTGGTATTGAAAATGGGCAATATCGGTACACGTTTTCGGATAGCCCCCATACAAGTGGCCCCTCGAAAAGCAGCTTTAACAGCCATAACTTGTTTAAAAATACGAATATAGCGATGAAATTCCATAAGTAAGTTTCTTGTGATCCAAAATCACTGTGCTATAAGGATCGGTCCATAATTGACCCTACCCCCCATATAAGGTCCCCTTCAGAAAATGACTTTAACGCTCATTACTGGCTTAAAAATACTAGTATATAGATAAAATTCGACAGTAAGTAAGTTTCATACGAGTCAAAATCTATCTAAAAAATTTTCAGAAAATGACTGCAACGCTCATTATTGGCTTAAAAATACGACTGTAGCTATGAAATTCGACACAAATAAATTTAATACGAACCAAATTCTGTCTACCAAATTTTATGAGGATCGACCCATAATTGACCCTACCCCCCCTATATAAGGTCCCCTTCAGAAAATTACTTTAACGCTTATAACTGGCCTAAAAATACGAGTATATAGATGAAATTCGACATAAGTAATTTTCATTCGAGTCAAACGAGGTTTGATGGTGGGTATATAAGATTCGGCATTGCCGAATATAACACTCTTACTTGTTCGTTTTTCGGAAGGTTAGGTTAGGTTGATAGGAGGATGTATACTACATCAAATCCGAAGAAATACACCTAGGCCACTATCGGGCCTGTTGTGCGCTCCAATTCAAGAAAAAAAAAAAAAAAAAAAAAAAAAAAAAGGTACTTTTTGAATTTTCTATAATATTGAATCTAGAAATATGAAATTAAGTATGTAGAGCCCGGATTAGACGAGAACACATAAAAGGGCACTTTTTGGTACTTTTTCGTTCTGCCAAAGGTACCTTTTGAATTTTTTATAATATTGAACCTAGAAACATGAAATTAAGTATGTAGAGCCCGGATTAGGTGAGAACCATTAAAAGGGGATTTTTGGGTTTTCAAAAGGTACTTTTTAGATTCTCTGTAATATTGAACCTAGAAACATGAAATTAAGTTTGTAGAGTCGAAATTAGGTGAGAACTTATAAAAGGTAATTTTTTGGTACTTTTTCGTTTTTTAAAAAGTACTTTTTGAATTTTCTATAATATTGAATCTAGAACCATGAAATTAATTATGTAGATCCAGGATTAGGCGAGAACACATAAAAGGGGACTCTTGGTACTTTTTTGTTCTGGAAATGGTCCTTTTTAATTTTCTATAATATTGAACCCAGAACCATGAAATTAAGTATGTAGAGCCCGGATTAGGTAAGAACGTATAAAAGGGTATTTTTGGTACTTTTTCTTTTTTCAAAAGGTACTTTTTGAATTTTCTATAATATTGAACTTAGAAACTGAAAATTAAGTATGTAGAGCCCAGATTTGGCGGAAACACATAAAAGGGGATTTTTGGTACTTTTTCGTTCTACAAAAGGTACTTTTTGAATTCTCTATAATATTGCACCTAGAAACATGAAATTAAGTATGTAGGGCCCGGAATAAGTGATAACCTATAAAAGAGGACTTTTTGGTACAGACTGTTTTTTTTTTGGAACACATCATGGTGAAGGGTATATAAGATTCGGCACAGCCGAATATAGAACTCTTACTTGTTCACTAAAAAAATTTCATTTTAAACAAAGTTGAATTACAAAACTAATTAATATGTTTCCATGCTCTTCAGATTTGCAAATATTACTTAGGAGCAGTAAAGTAAATTGACACAATTTCCTTCGCTATGGTTTTGTCATTCGAAAGAAATACATTAGTGATGAATTTAATAACTTTTAAGTAGTTTTCTTTTCGAATCAAAGAATTTGCAACAAAATGGCATCGATTTGTTGTTGCATATTTTTTCATATTTTGTTATAAATGCATAAATTGCTTATTTTGCATATTTCTAATATTTTTATAGCATATTTAGCATATTTTTTAATTTTTCGAACACAAATTATATTTAAAAACATGTAAGAGTATACCCACCATCAAACCGTATGCCGTAAATGAAATGCTCCTATATAAACATTAGGTTGATATTTGAAATAGGGCTTAAGTCAATTATGGACACATCCCTTTCGTATTTACAAAATATTAATTATTAAAAACAAAATATTTTTGTTCAACTTTAGGGTCAATTATAAAATTTGGTAGAGAGACTTTGGCTTTCTTCTGTATATCGAATTTCATAGCTTTAATCTTTAAGCCAGTAAGCGTTAAAGTCATTTTTTGAATGTGGGAGGTAGGGTCAATTATGGACCGATTCTCATAAAATTCGGTAGAAAGATTTCTGCTAGTAAGAAACTTATTTATATCGAATTTCTGTGGACATACGAGTCCAGTAATGGGCGTTAAAGAAATTTTTTGGAGGGGACCATATACATATGTATGAGGGTCAATTGTGGACCGATCCTCATAAAATTTGGTAGAGAATTTAGCTCATTTAAAACTTATTTATGTCGAATTTCATCGCTATACTCCCATTTTTATAGCAGTTATGGCTGTTAAAGCTGTTTTTCGGGTGCCTCTTGTATGGGGACTATGTGAAAACGTGGACCGATATTGCCCATTTTCAATATCAAACAAACCTATCAGAAATATTTGTGGAAAATTTCAACTCTTTAGCTCTTTCCGTTCGGACTCTATCGTGCTTTCAACAGACAGACAGACGGACAGACATGGATAGATCGTCTTAGAATTTAATAAGGACACAGAATTTGTTATAAAGAAATATCTATCTAAACTCCTTTGTGCAATTTTTGCTAGGACCAATAGGTGAAAAGTTACACTCATTAAAAAAAATCCTGTATGACCAAAATATCCAACTTTGACCCACTCTAACTCAGGCCGATAATGTTCTTGACAGATGTGTCTGGGCTACTATCCAATAATACTAGTGCAAATTTCATTCAAATAGATTTTTGAGTTAGGTCACTTGACACGAGATCGTGATTCTGTTAAATTGGTATTAGAGTACATAAAGCGGTATCTCTGTCTTCAAGAAAATATATATGTATATGTTGTCAAAAACTAAAGTTCTAAATATATATACAAATTTACTCAAATATGAGAAAAGAAAAAAAAAAATTAGTGATAACAAATAAATTTCACAAGGAAATATTTTTTGTGCATATTTTCCACATTTTGAGTGCATATTTTCCCATATTATAGTGCATGTTATAAGCGAATATTTTTCATTTTTTAGTGCATGAAAATCCTCGCCTTGGTGATGAAATGTATGTATGTATGTATAATTTACAAGACGCGGCGTTTCCAATTTAGCGCTTTTGGCGCTTGATTTAGCACCATTTAACAATCATTTTTTCCTCTTAGCGCTTTTTTGGAAAAAGGCTTTTTTCAAGAAATGAACAATTTTTTTAATAACATTAAATTATTCTAGTTTAACAATAAAGATAAAACAGAATAATTGTAGACAGTACTCTGCTGCACAGTGGGGCAGAATGGAAATTTTTTGGAAATAAATCTGGCATTTCTAAACGGCTGATCCGATCGGGATAAAATTTGGCGTGAGCGTAGCCAAGGAGCATTCGAGTTTAAGTTTTGAAGATGAACCCTGCAGATGCCCCAGGGACGGCGCTGTGGCGGCTCAAAGTAGCGTACCTACGACATGTAAAATTTTTAAACTCGTGCCATTTTTTTGTTTTTCACCCAAATACAAAGATTTTTATATTTTGTGAAAGCGCTCGACGAGATCTTGAAAAAACATGCTTGGACATACTACTTATCTCTTATAATATCCGAGTTATAGGCATTTAAAAATTTAGTGATACAAAATTTACCATACCTTGGTCCGCCTTTTTTTGAATACCGGGCGTAATTTTGGACCAAATGGACTCAATTTTTTCTTGTTAGTTAGACAACAAAATTTCCAATAATATACAAAAAATTTCAGATCAATATTGTTTACAGATCCAAAAATATACGTTTTTTAATCTAAAAATTCAAAAAATTTTAGATTTTTGGCGTTTTTTTGCCAAAAATGTGTCTTAACTCTTTTATTAATAAAATAAAATTTTTATTAAGAACATATAGCAATTTTATAGTTTTCTAAAAGGTATCTTTACGCAGAACGCTTTGGCGTAAAAAACTTGTCCTATTTTTTGAAAATGTTGCCACTGCGTCCTTCCGAATATGACCTATTTTTTATCAAAACTTCA